GATAGCAACAAAAATTGATAAATTGTTTTATTCTAAAGAATGCACAGTAACAAGAGAAGGGTACATGTATTTTTGTATATTGTTTTTAGGGAATGAAAACTATCAAAAACTGTCATTTATGTCTCACTTGTTTTTGATAGCTTGCCAAGTGTACATTCTTTAAAAACAATAGAAAAATAATGCACTTTCCTTTTGATAAAACCATACATTCTTAAAAATAAACCACAGCAAATTCTATTGTGTTGCTACCCAAGTGGGATTTAAGGGATTATAAAATGTTACATTTAAGTCACGAGAGGCAACATCTGAGAAACCAAAACATTGAATATCAAAAAACTTAAACATGGACATTACACCTTATTACAACTTATTGAGTAATTTTACGATGTACTACATTAGAGCTTCCTACTGTAAGAAGAGGCTGTAGTTCTTCATCTAAAAACTTTTTTATGAAACTTATGTTTTATGACAAGCTGTATCCTAAGTCACTACACTAGAAACAATAAAAAAACACATCATTTAATTGCTTTCTTCAAGAAAACCACAAATTGATTGGAACAATTATAAAATAGTTACTAGTTAGCACAGAAAGGAACAGAAACAATAGGTTGATAAGAGAAGGCACATTAGAAAACATAAAAACTTCAATGGAGACATGAGCACCTACAATCTAGACCACTTGTTGGATGAATTTATATCGCCATAGCAATAAATTATTTTTTGATGTTGTTAAGGTTCAACATGGGCTTTCAACTAGAAATTGAAAGCCCATGGGTTCAATGACATAATAAGTAGATTTACCTGGATGTATTTTAACAGTTTTCATTTTAAAATATTTAGTGAGCATGGAAACAGTATGCATTTGAAATGTCTAGATTAAAACGAAATATTAATAATGGAGTATATCCTTAATGCAGTTTTAATGATGTCATTGTGGCTTGTAGCGGAAACAGAAAAAATACTGTATGAAGAAGGCACAATATCATAAATTCAAATGTCACACCATTTGCCACACCAATCATGCTTTATACTAATATTTCTTAGTGAACTCTCCATTGGCATTTTTGTCATTCATTGAGGACATTTCTTTTATCGGCTTCTCTATCACTGGTGATCCACTTGATTACGCTGGAACCGTTTCGGTAACAAAACGTTGGAACGTCGAAGGTAAGATTTTTCTTTTTTCCTTATTTCACACGTTGTAGGCAGAATTCCCAAGACATCACAAACCTGTATCAGTATCATATGTTTAAGAAAATGTACACATTTGCGAACAAATAGTTCAGAAGACAACGGAAACGTCGATTTTTTAAGTTACATAAACAGTATTTCGGAAAACAGTTAAGATCTGCACTTTTAACACCTACAGTTTATGTAATTAAATGAGCTATTTTTTTCGCAAACATGTACATTTTCTAAAACGTATGATACTGATACACGTTTGTGAGAAAAAATGTTGTGGGGATTCTGCCAACGAGTCGTGAAATAAGGAAAAAAGAAAAATTTTACCTTTGACGTTCCGACATTTTGTTACCGAAATGAGCCATTTCGGTAACCAGCGTAATCGAGCGGATCACCAGTGTTTATAGTCAACAAGAAATTGCTGCAAACTTCTCGTAGTCAAGATCTCCAAGTCATATTAAAGTTGCCTAGCCCAGGCCCTGATTCATCGGTTAATTTTTTATAATAACTGATTCACAATAAATCAAAAACAAAAGAGCAAGGCACTGGACAAAACCATATGACTTCACATACATGTATGCTGTTTGTATATAATTTAAAAAAATCAATTTTGGAAAAGACTTGAAAAGAATGTATATCACGCCTAACCATCGACAAGGTACAGTGACAAAATATACCACAGTACACTTTAGATGTAAATTTGTACGATGTCACTATTTAATCGATTTGAAGCAAAGACAATGATGCAGGTGTGATGTAGGTTTTAAAAAATTAATCTTGGGAATACTTGAAAGAGCCTGTTGCCGAAGAGTGTCGATTATTTTCATGAGAATATGTTTCTCTATACTACACAATTTAGGATGGGTGGAGATTAATAAATATTCAAGTATTTGTTGTAATTTAAAAAAAATCAGAAATGTGCATTGTCAACTCGAATGTACGTTGTCCATGTAATTGAAATTCATGAGATATACGTAATATCAAACAATGTAATGATTTCATTTTATTTCTAAATTCATTAAGGTTTTTATGAGTAACAAGTGATCTTTAACGAACATGTTCAAGTATCCTTTTTGCTTTTTCATTTTATGAAAGTATTGTTGTGGTTGTGGTTAATTTGTGCCCATTTGGTGTTATCTTCCAGCCCAAACTCCCATCCAGTGTCTCGGAATAGAATATGTTGAAGACTAGCACTGCCACGGAGTCTGCTTCCAGCCTGTTTGATTATTTGGCGTCTGTACCTTCAGTTTTGTTACTTACATTGATAGATAGATCTACTGATCTATACTAACTTATTGAATATGACTTTTTAAAATCCCATTTATGATCTACTGGAAAGTTTCAATAGTTAAATCAAATTGAAGTTATTCTGTAATTGTTCTGTTTCAAATTTAGATGCATCTGACCCCCCTGTCAGTTAGTGTTATGAAAAATACGTTGTCTGCATTAGGGTAAACTGTGAATTGAGTAAGTTCAATGGGACAATGTACATTCGAGTTGACAACATACACTTATGATTTTTTAAATTATAGCCAAAATGTTATAGGCATTAAACCTTCAACAGACCTTAATTGTGCTGTTTAAAGAAACATATTCTCATAAAAATCTTCGACACTCTTAGACGACAGGGGAGGAAATGATCAAAGGAAATGTGTAAAAACACAACATTTTCCGACCGACCAATTATATAGGTATATTGACTACGAAAAAATTGAGCACTGTTCGAAAATCTTTTAACATTATTAGAAAGTTAAATGTCTTCCTAAACGAATACACAAAAAATCAAACATCAAATCCTTAATGCATTACCAGATTATTTTTTTAAAACCTACATCAAACCTACATCATTGCCTTTGCTTCAAATCGGTTAAATAGTGACATCATACACCTAAAGTGTACTAGGTATATTTTGTCACTGTACCTTGTCGATGGTTAGGCGTGTATATGTATAAACCTCGTTTTCGAATGTATTGTGCTAAAGAGCTGTACATGCCGTTATTACAATTCAGAACACTAATTTTCTTGTTTTCATTTATTTAAAATTTCGGGCCCAAATAAGCATAGCAGTAAAACACAATCGTAGAATTTCAGTTTTTTGATATTCAAATATTTAGCGATGTTAGACCTGTGTTAAAATTATGATTTTTTGCGGTAGAATTATTGGCAGTTGACAGCTTGAACTATTTCTTCAAAAGTACATAAAGGAGCACGATGAAAATAATTATATAAATCAATCAACATGATGTGCCTAACTGGTAAAAATTTCAAATGAGTTAGCTGAATGATTTTAGTGTGAACTAACAGGGGTTTGATGATAGGTATCACCACTGCTTCCAATCCAATATGGCCTCACTAAAAACCAAAATCAAAGGGCACACTAAAATATGTCTCAATCTGGCCTACTGAGTTTTAAAAACATAACAGTATTTCTTTGATAAAATAATTATGTTTGAATTTGAGGTTAAACTCCCAAAAATTTGATTGATTGATTTAAATCAAGGTGGAAAGAGGTGATGAAGTGAATTATTACAGGAGCAAACACGATCAATGGTTCAAGATATTCTGCAAAGTAGTTTGCTATTGCATACATAAGGGTTATGTACTGGGAGGTTTTGGATACAGGGTTTATCCCAAGGGAAATATGTGTATCTCACCAGGGACCGCAGGGACCGAGGGAGATACACATATTTCCCGCGGGATAAACACTGTATCCAAAACCGACCGTACATAACTGGTGTATCTCATACTTGAGTGGGTTTGGGGTAGATATAACCTTTACCACCTTTTTCAAATGACAAAATAGGCCTATACTGTGAAAGCACAATTTATATTTAACATTTTCATAATATTCCTTCAGCTCAATACAATAGAATTGTAACATCTAAACTTTTTGAAAAATTTTAAACTTCTGAAATTTAAATTTTTAAACTTTTGAAAAAATTCCTGGGAGCGGGATGGATATATTATATCTGCCCGCATTTGGCCTGGAGCGGGACATATACAATATATCCTGCCCGCTCCTCAGATATGATATATATTCCCGGGTGATATCTACCCCAAACCCACTCAAGTATGAAATACATACTGATATACACTTCCTTGTCAACTCAACCCAAAGTCAACTCAACCCAGTAAAACTCAACCCCAAGTCAAGTCAACCCCAGTAAAATTCAACCCTAAGTCAATTCAACCCTGTAAAACTCAACCCCAGTAAAACTCAACCCTTGTATCTTTATTTATTGATTTTATATTCCACATGATATGAAAGTTTCATAAAAAAAGTTTTAATAATTCTGAGTCAGTTTGTGATTTTCATTCTTAGACCTGCCTTTTATAGTTAATAATGAGTTTATCTCCAAAATGTCAACATGGTACTAATAGGATTAATAAAATATGGGTCATTTTATTACTTGCTAATAAATTTGTTTTGTTGTAATCCCTCTTAGGTTGACACTCATGATCATTTAGAATACTGGAACTTGAGCATTGCTTTCAGTCCATTAATTAGTAAATGTTAATGATTTCAACAATGCGTGTATATGAAAAAAAAGTTATTTTACATTGTTAATTATTTCTACATTATCTGAAATCTGATTTTAAAAGATGGGTGAAATAAAATAATAGTGACAACCTGATGAATTATCCTTGAGCTTAACTGTTTTTTGTATATTTTAACAACTTTCAATTCAAAGTATCATGCAAAATGCTAGATTTTCATAAATGAATGACTTGAATTGTGTATCATAAAATTAATTTAGACATCGCAGAAAGTCATGGTTCAACAAAGGAAATAGGATAACCTAGCTCAATTAACATACCTGTTAGGCCTGTATAGATGATCTTAGGACAAACATCATCAACACTAGTAGTTAAATAGATTGCACCATATTTGAAACAGATTGCAAGCAAATTAACACGGTCTTCATCTGTAAAACAACAATAAAACTACAGTTGCTGTATAACCAATTGGAATTATCGTCATATAAAAATCTTACATTAATATATTCCACCTCAAAGTTTCAGTTCAATATTTTTTAGTTTTAAAATATCTTGCCAAAAGCCTTAAGATATAAGGTAATTTTCAAATAATGATTGAAATATTTATAAATGCATCCGGACTTGTGTTCTCTCAGAATATGTCAAGTTGATAATCAAAAATAAATAGGAATCCTAGGAAGGACTTTTCAACACTCATTCAAATTACATAGCTAGGAAAGTATTTTCTAGTGGTTTAATTGAAACATATCAAATACCTTGACTGGCTGTGTCATCAGTTTCATCATTTGGCTCTTCCATGTTGAACTTCTCACACGACCAAGCCATGGCTGTTATCTCTGCCCCCTCTTGTATTGTCACTTGAGATATCATACCTCCATTAGAGTTCATAGTGACAATCTGACCATCATTTGTGCCAAATAGGACCTAGAAATAACCAATGAAGAATCAATTAAAACCAAGCAATGGCTGTTTTCTCTGCCCCCTCTTGTATTGTCACTTGAGATATCATACCTCCTTTGGAGTTCATAGTGACAATCTGACCATCATTTGTGCCAAATATGACCTAGAAATAACCAATGAAGAATCAATTAAAACCAAGCAATGGCTGTTTTCTCTGCCCCCTCTTGTGTTGTCACTTGAGATATCATACCTCCTTTGGAGTTCATAGTGACAATCTGACCATCATTTGTGCCAAATAGGACCTTGAAATAACCAATGAAGAATCAATTAAAACCAAGCAATGGCTATCATTTGTGCCAAATAGAACCTAGATATAACCAATTTAGAAACAATTAAGACCAAGCAATGGCTGTTATCTCTGCCCCTCTTGTATTGTCACTTGAGATATCATACCTCCTTTGGAGTTCATAGTGACAATCTGACCATCATTTGTGCCAAATATGACCTAGAAATAACCAATTTAGAAACAATTAAGACCAAGCAATGGCTGTTTTCTCTGCCCCCTCTTGATTGTCACTTGAGATATCATACCTCCATTGGAGTTCATAGTGACAATCTGACCATCATTTGTGCCAAATATGACCTAGAAATATCCAATGAAGAATCAATTAAAACCAAGCAATGGCTGTTTTCTCTGCCCCCTCTTGTATTGTCACTTGAGATATCATACCTCCATTGGAGTTCATAGTGACAATCTGACCATCATTTGTGCCAAATAGGACCTAGAAATAACCAATGAAGAATCAATTAAAACCAAGCAATGGCTGTTATCTCTGCCCCCTCTTGTATTGTCACTTGAGATATCATACCTCCATTGGAGTTCATAGTGACAATCTGACCATCATTTGTGCCAAATAGGACCTAGAAATAACCAATGAAGAATCAATTAAAACCAAGCAATGGCTGTTTTCTCTGCCCCCTCTTGTATTGTCACTTGAGATATCATACCTCCATTAGAGTTCATAGTGACAATCTGACCATCATTTGTGCCAAATAGGACCTAGAAATAACCAATGAAGAATCAATTAAAACCAAGCAATGGCTGTTTTCTCTGCCCCCTCTTGTATTGTCACTTGAGATATCATACCTCCATTGGAGTTCATAGTGACAATCTGACCATCATTTGTGCCAAATAGGACCTAGAAATAACCAATGAAGAAACAATTAAGACCAAGCAATGGCTGTTTTCTCTGCCCCCTCTTGTATTGTCACTTGAGATATCATACCTCCATTGGAGTTCATAGTGACAATCTGACCATCATTTGTGCCAAATATGACCTAGAAATAACCAATGAAGAATCAATTAAAACCAAGCAATGGCTATTATCTCTGCCCCCTCTTGTATTGTCACTTGAGATATCATACCTCCATTGGAGTTCATAGTGACAATCTGGCCATCATTTGTGCCAAATATGACCTAGAAATAACCAATTTAGAAACAATTACATCTGCCCCCTCTTGTATTTTCACCTGAGATATCAGCTTCCTGGTCATCTCAACCCCAAGTCAACTCAACCCTGTAAAACTCAACCCCAGTAAAACTCAACAACTATATTTTTGGGGTTAAGATGACCTGTCACCGAGATATCACACCTCCATTGGAGTTCATTATTCCACGAGTAGTTTTCTGACAGCATTCTAGGTATCAGAGATGTTAGGCTTGCAAATAATAATGTCAAGGACATTATTTATAATACCTTGAAAGTCAAGAACCCAGCCCCTAATGAAAATAGATCATCTCATTACAGTCTTAATAGGGACATTCTTTATTTATTCTTAACCTTACAATGTTCTCAATATACACCTTTAGAATGATATATGTTCCAGGCCTGTAGCCAAGGGGGTTCGAGGGGTTCGGGCGAACCCCCTGGCCAAAATTTCTTTCAAAATCATGCAGTTTTTCACCATTCTGACCATTTTTTGAGTGATTTTTGGCCAAATTTGCCAAAGTGACCCCCCCCCTAGAATTTTTTGGAAAAATATTTTTCCCCTTGGAAAATTCTGGCTACGGGCCTGTGTTACAACATCATTTTACTTAACATTATCTAAAAGGAATTCATTAATTGCCCTATTTTCTCTTCATCAACCCACACAATGTGGTTGGGGAGCTAGGTTATTTCGGGGGATTATTAATAAACCATGCAATATTCTCTCAATTTTCCTTTCATTAATGGAAAAGATGACATGTAATGAAATGTAAAAATGGTGAAACAACTATGAAAAGGCATGTTAACACCAGTGCCTTTATCTGAATATGTGTTTAGAAAAGTGAGAAAAAGAGAGAATTCATACAGAATTAGAGTGTAAATAAGTACGGTATTTTAAATACTGGCGAAGCAACAGTTAGTTAATCAGTCAATGTCTTTTAATGCCTGGGGACTAAATCTTAGCAGCATTTGTTTTGCCAATGAAAACCACATTGAACATGCTTATTCTACTTTTTCACCCTATGCAGACGGTGCTATACGAAACATGGATATCATGTGCGCAAGGTGCGGAAAAGTCATTTTTTTAATATGAATTCATGATATTTCATAAAATGGCATGTCTCAATTATATTCATATGTACGTAGAGAATCCCTAATAAAAAGGAAATTGTGTAAATAGGTGTGAATATGGGATATCCTATGATTTTGAGAAATATCATTTTTATCTACGAGGTGATATTGATATCTGCACGAGACAGAGAAGCGAACGATTGCATATCACCGAGTAGATTAAAACCAGAACAACGGCAACGCCAAAGCGTAGCGAATCCCATCGGACAGAAATGGCTGGCAATTTTACAAACGAAATATATAGCAAAAATAATAACACACATAAGAAAGGCCACCATTTTCAAAACGGTTGCTCACTAGCCGAGTTGTCATCAGAAGAAGTAATATGCTTTTTCTTTACAGTGTTCACATACCAAATATGAACAAAATCGCTCTACTACTTTAAAATACTTTAAAATGTGGAAATTTTTCAAAATGGCCACCTTCTACCAAAAGTGTCATTAGACAGTGTGCCATGTTTATAGTATTCACAAATCAAATATGAACAAAATCGCTCCACTGCTTTTCGAGTTACAGCAAAAATCGTAAAATAACGAGTAAATAATATGCTTTTTCTTTACAGTATTCACATACCAAATATGAACAAAATCGCTCTACTACTTTAAAATACTTTAAAATGTGGAAATTTTTCAAAATGGCCACCTTCTATCAAAAGTGTCATTAGACAGTGTACCATGCTTATAGTATTCACATACCAAATATGATCAAAATCGCTCCACCACTTTTCGAGTTATAGTAAAATACGTTAAAATGGCGGCCATTTTGCGTCTACCAAAAGTGTCATTAGACAGTGTGCCATGCTAATGTCATTCACATACCAAATATGAAAAAATCGCTCCACTACTTTTCCAGTTATAGTAAAATATGTTTAAATGGCAGCCATTTTGAAAAATGGCCGCCTCCTACCAAAAGTGTCACTAGACAGTGAGCCGTGCTTATAGTATTCACATACCAAATATGAACAAAATCGCTCCACTACTTCTTGAGTTACAGCAAAAATCGTAAAATAATGAATAAAGGCCGCCATTTTTCAAGATGGCTGCCATGTGCTTCTTTAATATCTATATTTCTAGCTTTATCAATGTCCTATATAATTTTTTTACATTTAAAACTATTGCTATTATAGTTTTACATATTGCACCTAAATTACTGTAAAATCGGCACTAAAATCGCCAGATGGATGGAAGGAGGCATTCCCTATATCCCTCCGAACTTCGTTTGATGGAATAATGATATTCTGAAAAAGTCATCGGATGTTCTTATTATCCTACACTTACTAGTAGTATACTAAATGTTTGATATCATTGAAAAATAAATTTCATGTCAAATAGTTCAATTTTGTGGGAAATCAACAAGCGGAGTATATCGTCACGATATCTGGTTTCCCGGAGTATATCGTCACGATATCCTCCGCATACTGGTTTTCCGGAGTATATCGTAGTGATATCCTCCGGTTATTCATTTTGCCAATAGATATCAAATTTATTTTTTTATGTTATTATACATATAGTATACTAAGTGTAGGATAATAAATATATTAATATAATAATAATATGTTACCTCTAGACAAGTGCGGCAGATATCCTTAAAGTGACGATATCCATACAGCCTATTTAGAGTTAGCATAGTCAGATAAATTGGTGTTTAGCTAGGTAGTGAAACTCTCTCGCAACTGAGTTAGATATAGCAATTATTAAAATGGTGTATCTGGACACATTGACTGGAAAGCTATCAATTTCTCTATCGTTGTCAATCACCTCATCATTTTGCAAATAAGTTATTAGTGCCCGGGAATTTAGAAAATTAAATATACATCTTCAGACCATTTTAATAAGTGTCTATATTCATTAAGAGTCTAAAGTCACCGACAATTTCATGTATGGCAATTTTTCTTGTTAAGAATGCCTTATTTGCAACATCAAAACTTAAAGTAACTGCATATTTTTACAATAATGATATGTATTGATATTGGAGAGATTACGGTAAAGATCACTAAAATAAAGTAAGGATCTTGAAAGACAATATTGACAGTGATTGAGGAGATCTCGAGCAGTTCTAACCCCTCGAATTGAAGGCATTGTTTTCCCAGATGATCTTCAATATTTCCACTAGAGACTGTTGGATATGGATCTAAAGTAATACCTTATATTCTTAATTTGATGTTAGATGTTCATTTTTCATGTAAAAGTCATGTAAAAAGAAACGAGGAAATTCATAACCTTTTGACATCTACAGAAACCTAAAGCTTTCTTGGATAAATGATGAAACAAAATTCTTAAACTTGAACATTTCCTTCATTCATTAAGGACTATTTTGAGATAACATTATATTAGTTTAGTATGATGTTGGAAGCATCCAATGATGGATATTTATCAGAGAATGCATCGAATTTAAAAATGGGTCGCG